AATTTACTTTGAGATAGATTACAGTAAACATATAAATAAAAATAATAATATTTAATTTACAAACAACTTGTAAACCAATAAATAGCCAAGAATATTCAAATCGAAAATAAAATTTAAAAAGTTGAAACTTTAAAAGTAAAAGTAAAATTTTTTTAAATCAAACAAAAACCACATATTCATAAACTTTGCTTTTCATTGCAATCAAATAAAATAAACTTTTAAACTTTGAGATTACAAAAATAAAAACAAAAATAAATGCTTAATAAGTAAATGCAACTATATAACATATATATATATATTCATATATAACATTCCCACACTTTTATCTTGTTTGGCACAAAGATATAGATATTGTACTAGTATAAATGCATATATCAATATTTAATTTATGAACAGATTGTTAGCCAATAATTATCAAAAAACATCTAAATTCAACATAAAACTTATACAATATAATATTTTAAAATAAAAGTAAAATTAATTTTTTACAAATAAGACAATAACAACATATTCATAAAGTTTGCATTTATTGTACAATACGTATAATCAAATGAAATAAACTTTGAGATTAAAAACAAAAATAAAATTTTATAATTATTATATAAATAACATTCCCACACTTTTTCATGTCTGGCACAAATATATAGTGCATATAATTATTTTATTGCAATTAAAAGGCTACTGATATAGATTAGTGAGAATAATGATAAGTATTTATATAGTATTTTAAACATTAAAAGTAGTAACCAAGTATATTTTACACATTTAAAATTTACTACGTCTTGTTTAAATAAATTTAACTAATTAAAAATAAAATATTTCTGTATTTTACTCAAGGTAATACTTAGCTTTTTTGTAAATCCACTTAACTATTAGGTAATATATTTTATAAATACTCCCCCAGAAATAATCTGGTAGTGGCTAATGTTAATACATTGCTAAATTCCCCAATATGTTTATACTGTATTTATCAACAAATAAAACCGTTACTAAAATAAAGTTGTGCATAATAAACACTTTATTAGTATATTATTGTAATACTAATGTATAATCAAAGCATAAATTATATTAAATAATACGCTTGATATTATACATGTTAGTAATATAAAAATAGCTTGTTAAGTAATTTTCTATTATTATCAACAAATAAGTCATAATAAATTATTGCAAAATCTAATACCGTTCCCATAATGGCCTCCGTGTCGAAGTCAAACAACACGCATATCACCGAAAAGATAGACACATCGGAAGTTCGGTTACAAGAGGTTTGTATACTTAACAATTACATGTATCATCTAGGTCAAATGTGTAACTATTATTTGCACATAGAGAATTGACAAAGGATCATTTGGTACAGTGCACAAGGCTATTTGGAGGAATCGTAAGGTAGCCGTAAAGTTAATTGACAAGGATCGGGAAAATTATTTTGATATTGAGGAAGCTCAATTGTCTAAACTGAACCATAAAAATATTGTCAGACTACTGGCCACAGGTCGAGACAAGGAAAACCTATGGTTGGTCATGGAGTTGGCAGAGGACGGTAATCTATACAAGGGTAGGCCTTAACGTAACTAACCTAACCTTACCTAACATAATATAATATAATAAAACCTAAACTAATCCCAACATTCATAATATTATACTAACAATATAGATATTAATTTTAATTTTAATATTGTTACGACGAGTGGTGCATAACCTCCAGGTGTCGTACAGTGTGTCTCAGGCACTCCAATGGCTACATCAATGCGCCCGTGGGGTCGTGTACCTGCACGATATGAAACCGGTACCCGTACTACACCGGGACCTTAAGAGTCCTAAGTATTTGATCATATTGTTTAAAATACAACATTTAAAAATATTAATAAATTGATATGTATTTTATTCAGTTTATTGCTGTTCAATGGTAGGACTATACTCAAAATATGTGGCTTAGTGCACGGGAGTACCAGTCGGATATGACAATGAATGTGGTAATTATAATGAATGTTTGAGCATGGTTATATACATGCAGTAATTAGACTGAATATAAGGTATAGTGTAATAGTTGGGACAAGCAGGTCATTTTAATTATATTACGATATCTTAAACCATTAAATTACCATTAAATCTTTTGAATGGGGTGAAAATACCATGATACGCTTAGCTATAGCCGAGATAAAATATTAAAATTCACGAAGTTCTATTTCTAAAAATCGCAAAGTTAGTTTTCTCTAATTAACCTTGTGCATGATTTTCAAAAAATAAAATATAAATAACTTTCTTATGTAATCAGCAATCAAGAAATTCAAAAGTTTTAGAATTTATAAATTTTAAATCTGTTTAAAAATAATTGAAACTAATCAGGGCACACCCAGGTGGATGGCCCCGGAGGTATTCCGTGGCCCAAGATATAACGAAAGGTGCGATGTCTACAGTTGGGGTATAATATTGTGGGAAGTGTTGGCCCGGGAGTTACCGTTCAATTTTGCCGATAGCGTCTATGCAATACAATGGGCGGTCTATTCAAAGCGACGACCGCCCCTCCTATCGGAATGCCCACAAGTAATCGAGGAGCTTATGACCAGATGCTGGGCTAATGACCCGGATGTTAGGCCCTCCATGGCCGATGTTGAGAGCCGGGTGAAACAATTAATAGGATCCATGTCCGGATTTCAAGGTTAGCTTTAATTAATGGTTTAATGTAATTTGCTTTCATGTGATAAATTTAATCCATAGTTGAACTCCCTTTACGGCTAATTTCTGAATATAGTGTGTGTATGGATACGTATGGAAAGCCCGCATTTCACGACAAACTGTAATTTTAAATTAACTATAATTTTAGATTACTGGTAGATTACCTAACACTTTCTTAACAGATATGTGTTGAACAACGTTCAAAAAACTTTATGAAAGTTTAATATTTTAATTCAATAAATTTTTAAATGCTTTTAGTTTCAAAATAAACAATACTTTAATAAAAATACACTTTGTCCTCTATAAGGGCAACACATTTGCCTAATTTATATGTGAAATACACTCTTTTAAAAAGCATTTATAACTTACAATGCAAGAACGGGAAGTGATCACGCTAATTGCAATTAAAACCGAGTGAATTATACTCGTATGGTATGGTATAATAGGACTGCCCAGGTCCGGTAATCTAGCGGAATGTCCTTGGTGTCCAAATCGGTGATTATATCGGTCGACGCGTTATACATTTTTGCTATAAAAGCCCAGTAAACTACTCATTCTATACGAGTCAGAGTTTTCACAGCAAAATGTATAGAGTTTTTATAGCGCGTTGACCGATATAATCACCGATTTGGACACCAAGGACNCCTTGGTGTCCAAATCGGTGATTATATCGGTCGACGCGTTATACATTTTTGCTATAAAAGCCCAGTAAACTACTCATTCTATACGAGTCAGAGTTTTCACAGCAAAATGTATAGAGTTTTTATAGCGCGTTGACCGATATAATCACCGATTTGGACACCAAGGACATTCCGCTAGATTACCGGACCTGGGCAGTATTTAATAATAATTAAACAAATAACCAGCTCTCTCGCTTTGAAATGCCTAAAATGCCCGAAATGCATATAAGTCAATCCCCTAACACTTTTCAACATAAAACTTATACAATATAATATTTTAAAGTAAAAGTAAAATTTAAGTAATTTTTAAAAATATAACACAATATCCACATAAGTTATTCATAAACTATGCATTTACTGTACAATATAATCAAATGAAATAAACTTTGAGATTACAAAAATAAAAACAAAAATAAGTTTCATAATTTTTATATAAATAACATTCCCACACTTTTTTCATGTCTGGCACATAGATTATAGTGAATATAATTATAAATTTATTGCAATTAAAACGCTACTGATATAGATTAGTGAGAGTAGTGATAAGTATTTATAAAATATAAGTAGTAACCAAGGGTTTTTTTAACATTTAGAATTTACTACATGAAGTTTTATTAATTTAATTTAATTTAAAGTAAACTATAATATATCTAAATATTACTCAAAGTACTACCGAGTTTTTTTTATAAAGACACTTAACTATTTGATAATAATTTTTATAAATACTCCCCAGAAATAACCTGGTAGTGGCTACTTATATTATAGTGCTAAACTCGCCAATATGTTTATATAGTATTTATCAGCAAATAAAACCGTTACTAAAATAAAGTTTTGCATAATACACACTTTATTAGTATATTATTGTAATACTAATGTATAATCAAAGCATAAATTATATTAAATAAGTACCCTTGATATTATAATTTTTGATAATATAAAAATAGACTGTCAAGTAATTTGCTATTATTATCAACAAATAAGTCATAATAAATTATTGCAAAATCTAATACCGTTCCCATAATGGCCTCCGTGTCGAAGTCAAACAACACGCATATCACCGAAAAGATAGACACATCGGAAGTCCGGTTACAAGAGGTTTGTATACTTAACAATTACATGCATTATTTAGGTCAGCCGTGTAACTATTATTTTTACACACAGAGAATTGACAAAGGATCATTTGGTACAGTGCACAAGGCGATTTGGAGAAATCGTAAGGTTGCCGTAAAGTTAATTGATAAGGAACAGGAAAAGGATTTTAAAATTGAGGAAGCTCAATTGTCTAAGCTAGACCATAAAAATATTGTCAGACTGCTGGCCACATGTCGAGATAAAGAAAACCTATGGTTGGTCATGGAGTTGGCAGAGGACGGCAGTCTATATAAGGGTAGGCCTTACCATAACTTAACTTGATTTAACCTAACCTAAACTAATATACCCTAATATAATCGAACATAGCCTAATCTAACATAATATGATAAAAACCATAACTAAGAATAGGTATTTTAATTAATAAATAGTGTTAACATAGTTTTATTATAAATCATAACTTTAGAGCAAAGCCTTAATATTACCCTGAACATTCATTAATTATTTAGCCTTTAAATTTATGTGTATATATGATTGGATTACTACAAATATACAAATTATTTTGGTTATTAAAAGTTTATTCATTATATATATAAAATAATATATTAAAATTGAATCATTGAATTGTTTAAATGTATAAAATCACTATTTTTCATAAACTTTTATAAATTCTGATTATTTCTATTAATTTATTTTTCATTATAAAATGAGTAAACTTCTAAAACGTTGAATGATTAATTTATTTGTGTTAAAACATTCATATTTATATGACTATGTTGTCTATATATCTAATGGATAACATTAAGGCTTTGCTCCAAAGTTATAATTTATAATAAACTATGTTAACACTATTTATTAATTAAAATACCTATTCTTAATTATAGTTTATTTATTAGTATTCAATTCCGATCGAAAATTAGACATTTTAAAAATCAAACAAGTATCTTTTAATAATTTAACAAAAAAAATATCCAAGATAATGGACATAATTTGCACAATAAGTTAAATAACAGTATATAAAATCAATGTAAACAATAAATTACAAAAATTATCTTGACATTTCAAGAACCTTTATAAATGCCATGGAAATGTAGGTTAGAATCTGAATTTGAAAATGTAATTAAAATTTAAATTTTAAAATAAATATTTGAAACCAAATGAACGCATACTTCGTAACCACGGAATCGATTGATGAGAAACAGTCGCCAACAGTAAAAGCCAACCCTTTTCTCACCCAACCTTTCAATCAATGATTGCAACTATATTTGAAAAATTAAAAATAATTTTAGTATAAATTAGCACTAATTGTATAATAATTACTTACCTTTAATTTGCAAACACTGTTACGTATCAATGGTTTCATATTCATTATAAAATGACCAACGTAATATGAGTTCAATAATTTATATGTAACCCCCGACTGATCGCAAAGTTTGGCCGAATAGTGTATAATAAATAGCAAGGTGAATAGTATCTGTAGAAACATCATAAACAGTATCACCTTTGTTATGAATGGCATGGATGAGAATAGTGATGAGTAAAGTACCAAGATCAAAACAAAGCTAAATATAATCCAATAAATGCCCAAAAATATTGACCAATAATTGCCATTATATTCACTGATTTCCAGATAAATATCATTAAGTTTACGCATTGTATTCATTAAACGTATGATTTGTTTGGATTTATTATTAATATTATTACAATAAATTTCACGATTAATTGACTGCAGTTTTGCTGTCATATAATAGGCTATAATCGCGTAATATAATGATTGCCATATAATTATGCTAAACATATAGTCCACCACCAGTGCCCATAATATGCTATGAGGTACGGCGTATAAAATGAATTGTTTGCCTGTGGTATGTAATGAAAATATAAATAAATATAAGATGAAGAATAATATAATCGACATTTTAGTCACTAATTCTGTGACTAATCAATTTTCGTGAAAATTTGAGTAATTTCTGAACGATATGTTTGTCGTGAATACCAATACTAATGGGTGTTATTAAACCCGAAAGCATCCAAAATACACACAAATCCCGCGGTTTTATACCTCGACTATAGTTATAGTAATTGAGTAGTTGCGAGGACAGGCAGACTATTGCTGTACATATAGCCCCGACTGTTGCCTGAAGTCTTACACCTAAAAAGTATGTAATGTCTCCACACATGGCGTAAAACTCTAAGTCCTGTTCGGGTATTGAAAGCAATACAACATATCGTATAAGAAATGTTAAAATAACCAAAAATACGAGAATTGGTCGATAAATGAGTAAACGGTTTATGGGATTAAATGGCTTATAGAGTGAAAGACCAATACTGTAGAGATGAGTACCGGCCCTTGCAATCACCAATGAGTTAGGTAGCACAGCATTAACATTAACCTTATCTGAATTTAAGTTTTTCATTGTGGTTAATTTTAATATAATAAACTTTATTATATTTTAAAGTTGTCGGATACGTTACTATATAAATCTCTAATACTTTAATCGCATATAATATAAGAATTTTAAAATATTTTAAAAACTTCGGGATTTTATATTATACTTATATGTGATTGTCATCATATTGTAGAATTGGAATTTATTTACATTTAATTATAACATTTAATAACTAGAATTTGTTTATAATTTAATAATCTTATGACTAAACAATTGTTATTATCAGACTTTGTAACGTCTCATATTACACTATTGCAGTGCATAACAGTTGAGCCGTGTGCACACTAGTATGCATTCCTTTGTGGTGCTTATCTTAGCGCTGTTACTATGCGCGCACCACTCTTGTGTGTTAGACTCTGATGTGAAAACATCGAGTATTGTAAGACTTTTCTATAATAGAGCCGTGTGCACACTAGTATGCATTCCTTTGTGGTGCTTATCTTAGCGCTGTTACTATGCGCGCACCACTCTTGTGTGTTAGACTCTGATGTGAAAACATCGAGTATTGTAAGACTTTTCTATAATCGTTTTGTATTGTTTTAATGTTTTATAATAAAGTGTTTATTAAGTGAAAATCTAAGACTAAAAAGCACCACTCTTGTGTGTTAGACTCTGATGTGAAAACATCGAGTATTGTAAGACTTTTCTATAATCGTTTTGTATTGTTTTAATGTTTTATAATAAAGTGTTTATTAAGTGAAAATCTAAGACTAAAAACTATAACTACGAGAACTGTGGTATGTGTGTAAGTGTGAGTGCGACCAGACCCGCGAGACCTGACCTGCAGCTGAGTGGCAGCCGCAAACACCACTCTGCAATATTATAATAACAGTTATATGAATATTATATAAATATTCAAAATGCCAATTAAAAAACAAATTAAATTCAATATGAGTGTATGAATGCCATTAATTATGTTTAATAGCTAAACAATGATAATCTATACGTTTTTCATATAATTAGTATTTTGTTATTACAGTTTAATTTCATTAATATATTGTCGAGAAAATATTATATATTTAAGAAATTTAGAAATATTTAACATGAAAATAATATTTTAAATGATCATTAAACTATATTTGACAATATCACTGTTTTATATTTCAAATTAAATAGATTATTGCTATAATATATTTTCATAAATTGCTTATCACTAGACTACTAAGCTATTAAACAAAACTATTAAATTTTAAACTAAAACTTTTAAATTAGTTTATAAACTCAAACTATTATTTTAAATATGTTCACTTTTACAATATAAACCAAATATAATGGTTTTTGTAATAATAATTACGCTATTAATACTGTTTAGTATCATTAATAATATAGTTATGAAAGTAATTTTAAAAACTATAAACTTTTATTAAAAATATTAAAAATATTCATAAATAAGATCATTAAATGAAAATTAAATTATGTACAATATTATTGATCGTGGTTATCTGACCTTTAAAATAATAGTTTACTTTTCCAAATGTTAGACTCTATTAAAAATGTCAAAATCCATGATAATGGACAGCATTTACACAATAAGTTAAGTAACAATAAATCAGCAATCAACAATTCAAAGCAATAACTTACAAATATTATCTTGACATTTCAATGATCTTTATAAATGCCATGAAAATGATAGATAAAATCTGAAATTAGAAATATAATTCAAATTAATAAAAAATTTTTAAAATATTTGAAACACAAATGAATGCATACTTCGTAACCACGGAATCGATTGATGAGAAACAGTCGCCAACAGTAAAAGCCAACCCTTTTCTCACCCAACCTTTCAATCAATGATTGCAACTATATTTGCGAAATAAAAATCAATTTAATATAATTTAATAAATTATTTTAAAAATACTTACTTTGAATTTAATAACAACATGACGTAACAGTGGTTTTTGTGTATAATTGGCTAAAAACGAGTTAATTATTATATAAGATATAGCAGTCTGATGGCAAAGTTTAGCCGAACTGTGTATTATAAATAGCAAGGTAAATAACATCTCTAAAAACATAACAAAAACCAACATCTTTGCTATGTATGGTATGTTTGCAAATAGTGAGGCATATAGTAAAACAGCTATAATTATAGTGATTATAATCCAATAAATAGCCAAGAACATTGACCAATAAATACGATTATATTCAATGATTTCCAAATAAATATCATTGAGTTTACGCATTATATTCATTAAATGTATGATACATTTCCCATTAGTATTATTACAATAAAGTTTACAATTAATTGACTGCATTTTTAGTATCAAATAATAGACTATAATAACATAGTACATTAATTGCCATATAATCATCTGGTTCATATAATTTATAACCAGTGCCCATAATATACTATGAGGAATGGTATATAAAATAATGATATCAATTGGTAGATATTTTGAAAATATTGAAAATGTTAGCAAAATGACTGATTGCAATAAAATTATTCATAAATTCTGCGATTTTAATCAATTTTCGTGAAAATGTAAGTAATTTACAGACAATATGTTTATCGTGAATCCCAATACTAATGGGTGTTATTAAACCCGAAAGCATCCAAAATACACACAAATCTCGCGGTTTTATACCTCGACTATAGTTATAGTAATTCAGTAGTTGTGAGAAAAGGCAAATATAAAATATAAAATATATTGTGGAAGTGATACAAATATAACGGCCCCCGAAGCCTGTAGTCTTATACCCAAAAAGTATGTAATGTCTCCAACTTTGGCATAAAATATATGATTTTGTTCCGGAAGTAAAACTAATATAGTTTGTCGTAAAAGCCATACAACTAATGCAAAAAATACGAGAATCGGGCTATAAATGAGTGAACGGTTTGTGGCATTCAATGGCTTATAGAGTGAGAGACCAATACTGTAGAGATGGGTACCGGCCCTCCGGATCACCAATGACCCTGGTAATACAGTATTCACATTAATCATGTCTCGATTTAAATTTTTCATTGTGTTTAATTTTATTACGTATATTATATAAATTTTTATATATGATTTTATAAAGGTTTTAGATTAATTATTGTACTGATAATACCAC